GGGGGGGGGGGAGGGAAGGGGGGCACAATAGAATTATAACCTGCAAAGTCCTTCTTTGGCGATAGCACTAGTATAGCTCAACGCCCACCTCACCCCCCCCCCCTTTCCCCCCTTTTCCTCCCCCACGCCCACATCGCAAAAGTGGTGAATACAGGCAGAAGTGGTAATTTTGCTGACGCAAAGAAAAAAATTATAATATTAGTAATAATAATAGGTTGAATGACATATAAATCTTATAAATCGGGGCGGGAGGGGTGAGGGGGATTGGGGGGGGGGGGGGGGGGGGCGCGAACTGTATCGATAAATACTTCTAAAAAGGAGAACAATACGTGGTTATGAGGGTCGTTTAGCTATTTCCGTCTAAAATTCTTTTTCTTTTTCTTCTTATTTTTCTTTTCCTTTTTCTTCTTTCTTTCTTTTTTTTTTTTTTTTTCCCTTTTTCTTCTTCTTCTTCGCGTTCATCAGCTGTAAACTCCGATGGAAAGTTCTGGTTGTTCATTCACCGCTGGACTTTAGACCTGTTCCAGAACCTGAATGTTGCATACACGTTTTACAGATCTGACTTATTTGTGTACAGACTGCTAGTTCCCTGTCTCCCAGGCACTCCGTCTGCGAAAGAAACCCCCAATTAGTAGACTCTTACGAGATGCTTGTTGAAGAGGTAGTGAGTCTATTCTTGTTTTCCCCATAATTGGGCCCCAGAACCCAGTAGGGGGTTAGTCTTCGGTGAGTATAATCATGCAGATTGAAATAGGCTGGACTAGAAGAAAACTGCTGGATTGCTGAAGGGTTGCATATGAATTTAAACTCAAGTCTTCTGCACTATTCTACAGCCATGTTCTTGAACCGATGAAACGATGTCGGTCAATGAAGATTTCTTACCGATTCGCCAAAAATGTCCACCAAATCATATAATGATATTGGAGATGAAACGAAGAAAAGGAGGAACAGGATAAAACAGCAGCAGCAGCAGCAGCAGCAGCAGCAGCAGCAGCAGCAGCAGCAGCAGAAGAAGAAGAAGAAGAAGAAGAAGAAGAAGAAGAAGAAGAAGAAGAAGAAGAAGAAGAAGAAGAAGAAGAAAAAGAAACATTATATGGTAATATATAACATATTTTTAACGCACATAATATACCCCTTAAGCTTACTTGTAAACAAAATAAGAATTTTTTTAAAAAAAGGGCAAGGGGTGCAAATATCGAGTGAATCAGAAGCTGTTTGCAGTACACGAATAAATAAAACCCCAGATAACCAAACATCCGCATTCTTTGGTAAGTAAATAAACTATAGAAAAATGTCACCAACATGGCGGCCTCAGTAAATCATTCAAACAGAGCGCTGTTTTATGGCGGGACAAGGCAGGTCAGAGGTTAGATGTTACTTCTGTGAAATTATTGCACGTTCTTAGACAACACAAAAGAATTGAAAACATGGGTACGTTATGTTCGTTATTTGAGGTTTTGGGTACATTGAGTACCCCCAGAAAATGTGTAAGATACCCCCCCCCCCTTTCCCCACCCTCGCCCGGCACCATTATTTTTTCTTGTGTTACTGCTCCCCTGGGGCGTTCGGCAAATGTAATAGAAGTTACTTTAAGGGTACATAGTTTTAATTCACCACAAACAAAGAAAATCTGGGAGTTTCCAGGACAGTCCAACATTAGAAGGTGTTATGGTTTGACATGAACATTAAGCTGTAATTTGGTGTGACATGACCAAGAGAACGCCTGCGTGACCTGGCACGAAAATGAACCTGATTTGTGTCAGCCCAGACCACTTCAGAGACACCCACTAACCCTAACTCTAAACCAAACCCTAACACCCCTTGAATATTGGACTTTCCCGGGAACACCTAGATTTCCGTTGCTTGGGGTGAATTAAAGTTAAAGCACCGCTTTAAGTACTTCTGCTGCAGCTGCTGGTGCCCTCATCAAAACCACTACCGCCGCCACCACCAACAAAATTACTAATACTATTACAAAACAAAGCAAAGAAAACACAACTACATACAAGAGATGGCAAGACAAAGAAAATATGACTGATATGCAGAAAAGGAAAAGAAACAGAACATATGAAAACAGACATACAGGAAAGGACAGGACAAAGAATTTACGACACCAGACATACTGGGGACGGCAAAACACAGAACATATGACGACATTCATACAGGAAAGGACAGGACAAAGAACGTATGACCACAGACATACAGGAAAGGACAAGACAGAGAACATATGAAGACCTTCATACAGGAAAGGACAAGACAACGAGTATGACCACAGACATACAGGAAAGGACAAAAAACGAACGTATGACCACAGACATACAGGAATGGACAAGACAACGAATATACCACCACAGACATACAGGAGACGGCAAGACAAAGAACATATGATGACATTCATTCAGGAAAGGACAGGACAAAGAATGTATGACCACAGACATACAGGAAAGGACAAGACAACGAACGTATGACCACAGACATACAGGAAAGGACAAGACAACGAACGTATGACCACAGACATACAGGAAAGGACAAGACAAAGAACGTATGACCACAGACATACAGGAAAGGACAAGACAAAGAACGTTTGGCCACAGACATACAGGAAAGAACAAGACAAAGAACGTATGACCACAGACATACAGGAAAGAACAAGACAAATAACGTATGACCACAGACATACAGGAAAGGACAAGACAAAGAACATATGATTACATTCATACAGCAAAGTACAAGACAAAGAACATATGATGACATTCATACAGGAAAGGACAAGACAAAGAACATACAAACATAAACTCACTGGAAACAACAAGAATACCCCCCCCCCCCCCCCCCATCACCCCCTCCCCAAATCACAGACTGACTGGAAGTAACAAATCAAAGAACACATGACCAAAAACTTACTAGGGGTGACAAGACAAAGAATTCAAACCACAGACTTACAAGACAGAACACAACAGAACACATAATAGATTTACCAGGGTTGCCAGTGCAAAGAATACATGACACATGTTTATTAGAAGTGATGTGACAACAACAACAATAAAACGCAGACAGATTTACTAGATATTTGGGAAAACGAAGAAAATTTGATAAAAACTTACTAGAGGTAACATAATTTTAAAAAAACAACAACATTACAACAGACTTACTAGAAATGACCAGAGAAGCAAAAAATAGAAAAAGCGAAGAACACAGATCCAATTCTTTCTTATACTAGTGGTGCCAAAGGAAAGACACAGAACATGTAGTCACAGACTTACTAAAATTACAAGACGAAAAAAAAAAACAGATTAAAAGTTTACTAAAATTACAAGACAAAGAATATAGACCACAGACTTACTAGAGACGAAAGAACAACGAAAGATACGTGACAGATTTAATAGAGATGCAAAAATAGCAAAGCATACGTGACATTGACTTACTAGAGATGCAAGAATAACAAAGGATACATGGCACATATTTACTAGAGATGGAAGAATAACAAATGACCCGTGGCGCAGACTTACTAGAGATAAAAGAATAACCAAGGACACGTGGCACAGACTCACTAGAGATGAAAGAATAACAAATGACCCGTGGCACAGACTTACTAGAGATGAAAGAATAACAAATGACCCGTGGCACAGACTTACTAGAAATGAAAGAATAACAAATGACCTGTGGCGCAGACTTACTGGAGATTAAAGAATAACAGAGGACATGTGGCACAGACTTACTAGAGATAAAAGAATAACAGAGGATGTGTGGCACATACTTACTAAAGATAAAAGAATAACAGAGGATATGTGGCACATACTTACTAAAGATAAAAGAATAACAGAGGATATTTGGCACAGACATACCAGAGATAAAAGAATAACAAAGGATATGTGATACAGACATACTAGAGATAAAAGAATAACAGAGGACATGTGGCACAGACTTACTAGAGATGAAAGCATAACAAAGGACACGAGGCACAGACTTACTAGAGATAAAAGAATAACAAATGACCCGTGGCACAGACTTACTAGATATGAAAGAATAACAAATGACCCGTGGCACAGACTTACTAGAGATAAAATAATAACAGAGGATATGTAACACAGACTTACTAGAGATAAACGAATAACAAATGACCCGTGGCACAGACTTACTAGAGATTAAAGAATAACAGAGGATATTTGACACAGACTTACTAGAAGTGACAGAAAAAATAATATTTGATCCTAGCCTTACAAAATATGACAAAACAAAGAGCACAGACTTACCAGATACAATAAAAAGACAACAAAGATCAAACCAGTAGTGTGATTACCTTCGTCAGCGCTGAGCATTCTAGATACTTGACCGCCCTAATTTCCCTGGCTGCTCTTCTGCCGTCTTCCAATGACAACGGTTTCTGTTTTAGTTTGGCCAGCTGTTTCAGCTGTTGAATATCGTTTCGTAAATCCGTCTGTGTCCCGACCAGGAGAATGGGTGTTGTGGGGCAGTGACGTATTACTTCTGGGATCCACTTTGGAGGAAAGAATACAACAGTATAGGAATTATCAACAAGCAGCGTCCCACTGTGTGAGATAAGAAAAGTAATTAAGTAAACAAAGCCATTTTAACGTCAACACGCGGCCCGGCTCGCTAGCACAGTTGGTTAATCCTGACTGCGCGGCGACCAGGTGACGAACTCCGTGTGGTCCGGGTTCACGCCCAGGGGTAGGCAGAAGAGCCACATTTCTCCCAGATTTACGATATCTATCATGGAACCAAGGCCGAATCTTTGCGATATCCATAGTACCGAGCCAAATGGTTAACAACTCATGGTTTCTGGCTGCGGTTGTTTTGGAACCACAAGAATAGGGTGACCATAATATCTTGAATCTATAGTTTTCAAAAGAACGAAATGCTTTAAAACGAGGGCATCAAGACAGCATATGTGGCTTAAAAGATCACAAAGAGAATATAATAAATAATACTCAGGAATATGTAACAGATTGAGGGAATACTTTGATGAATTGTTAAATTGTGAAACTTCACTAAATACTTATTCACAGGAAGAGACACTAGCATGCGAATCTTCTTCTCTTCCACCCTATATCTCAGCGAGGATCGTTTGTACACTTTTTCTAATGCATTGTACAAACTGGTGTTCATTGCTGTTAGGTTGCTCTTAATGGTGACACTCCCTCTCTTGCGTGGTCTTTCCCCTGCTCTGTGTTTATTATATTTCTTCATCGTGGCTCTCTGTGGCAGTTGGTACCAGGGCATTTTCGTCAGGTGGCCAAATCATCTCTTTTGTTGTTCTTTAATGATTGTCTACAAAGCAATGGCAAACTACTGGATGTAAATTTGCTTTGAAAAACCACAACAGGTCCCAAAAAAATGCTGGGGTTGTTTCTGCAATTTCCTGTAATGGATACGCAACTAACTTTAACTACATATTGTAAGATGCCATCCGCGTACTGCTAACAGGCTAAAACTATACGTCGAAATATATATTCGGTGATTACAAAGCGGGTTTCAGTCAGAACAGATCAACAATAGATCAGATAATCATTTTACGGCAAATAGCAGGGAAAAACTGGGAACATAAAAGAGATGTGCATAATGTTTTTGTAGATTTTTGAAAAGCTTATAAAAGTGACTCCTCCGAAGTTGTCTCCACCTTGCCCGGTGGGGGCGCTTGTGTTTCTCAACGACCCTGAGAGCTTTGCCGGCGCTAGCGTAGCTGCTAGCAAGGCGTCTAAAGCCGGAAAGGTCAAAAGGTATAAAACAGTCAAAGAGAGACACCCTGGTCCTCCAAGCTGGGCGTTGAAGAGTGGGGCCGATACCTCCAGGGGAATAGAGAGTGAGAAGCAACAACAAAATTCATAATCTGTTTAAATCACCACTGACTAGTGGCGTCATGAAGGCTAATAGACCAAAATGGCTGGGGAATATTTAGAGAATATCAGATGACACAGTGGTTTAAAAAAATAATAAAAACTATACACAAGGAAGGGAGTCGCCGTGGCTGAGCGGCTAGACGCTCACCGCGGATCGGAAGGTCGTGGGTTCGCTCCCTGGCGGAGCCGGACTTTTTTCAAAAATGGCTCCCTTGGCTCCCAGGTCGACCCAGCCTTGAGTGGGTACCGGGTGTAGTCCCGGGAAAGTGAAGGCGGCCGGAGTGATACTGACCACATCACGCATCTTGTGCTAAGGTCTATAAAAATCTAGGTCTAGCCCTATATGCCCAATACGCCTTGAGGCGTGGAAAAGGGTCCTTTACTTTATTTTTTTTATACACAAGAAAGTTGAATGGTCGTAGACAATGAGGACAACCAAGAGGATTATGGAGAGATTATGTCCAGACAGATCTACAAACATTTTGTGGTGTCACCAACTGGACAGAGAAAGCTAGCCAAAGGGATGAATGGAGGCATGTGAAATCTGCAGCAATGAACCTCAAGGGCTCTGAATGCCGAAGAGAAATGATCTTGCGCTGAAAACGGGACATCCTATTACTATTTTGAGCTAAAAAAAAGGGGACATTCCAAGTAAGTAAGCGCCCCCCCCCCCCCCCCCCCCCCACGTTTTTTTTTTAAATATTCTTTTTTGCCCCTTCTAGCCTTTTCAGGGTCACCGAAGAGAGCGGATAAATTACTTGCTCCGCAATTTGTATTAAAATCCAAAACATTAAGGCCACGAAATAAACGAAACAATATGGTCTTTTAACTGCAATGAAAAAAAAAATATGCTACATTGAAAATTCTCACGAGAGAGAAGGAACCAACAGCCTGCATACAAATAAACCAGACCTGTAAATTAGATGCGCACGCAATACTCAGGTTCTAGATCAGAACTACAATCCAGAAGTGGACGACCATCCCGAACTTTCGGCCGGATCTTGCAGACGGTGATGGCGAATTTACCAATATTTAAATTATTGCCTAAATTATTTAAACAGGCAGAAAGCAACGAAACAAAAATAGTATATATACCTTCTGTCTGACGTTTTCCAGTGTGGAGGGGGACACAACCGAGAAGCAGACGATGAATACATGAGAATGTGTGTAGGCAAGAGGTCTGAGTCTGTCGTACTCCGTCTGTCCGGCAGTGTCGTAGAGACACAGTGTATAAGCTTCTCCACGAACTGTGACTGTTACGGCATAGTTGTCGAATACCTGTCGAGAGAGTAGTGTAAAATCTATACAAATATTTCCCGTGTGGATTCCGGGGCCCTATTATAGGGAAAACAAGAATAGACTCACTGTCTACTCAAAAGCATGTTGTAAGAGTCGATTAATTGGGAGCTTCCTTTGAAGTCGGAGTGCATCTGCCTGAACGAACGAACTTTATTTTCAAAGCGTCACAAATTGGGCACGCAGGTCCGTCTAACATTCGGCCCTTCCAAACACCCGTCTTTCACAATCCAGCTGTATTTTATCAATAAGCATGTTATATTCAAGTAATATTTGGGTTAAGGGCATAGTAAATATAATTCTCTGTCTCACTATAACCAGAAGAAATTATTACAAGTACTAATTTATGAAAACACTAAGGTCGTTTCGTCACACTACCCACACAAACATGCACATTCCACACACATACATACATACAGATACACACATGCACACACAGACACACCCGCATAAACAAACGCAGACACACATACAAACAGACATACGCGCACAGACCTAAACACACACACGCCGATACACATACACAGACACACACATGCAACACACACAAACCCAAGACACGCACACTCAGACTCACACACGCGGACACACACACATACATGCACAAACACACACAGACACAGACGCACTCGCAGACACACAAACACAATCGCAGACACACACTCATACACATACGTTGATGCTCACGCGTACACAGACACACGCAGACGCATACGCAGACATACATAAACACAGGCACACACACACACAGACACACACACACACACATGTAGACACACCCAGAGAAAATACACACAGAGACACACACGGACAGTCACACACATACAAGGAACCAGCAGTCTGCATACAAATTGAGTCAGATCTGTAAAACGGATGCACATGCAACACTCAGGTTCTGAACCAGGACTGCAGTCCAGAAGTGGACGAACAACCATAACTTTCCGCCTGAGTTTACAGCCGGTAAACGTGAAAAAGAAGAAAAAGAAGAAGAAGAAGAAGAAGAAGAAGAAGAAGAAGAAGAAGAAGAAGAAGAAGAAGAAGAAGAAGAAGAAGAAGAAGAAGAAGAAGAAGAAAAAGAAGAAGAAGAAGAAGAAGAAGAAGAAGAAGAAGAAGAAGAAGAAAAAGAAGAAGAAGAAGAAGAAAAATACATAAATTATGCGTGTCGCTCAAGGCGATCTTGCATGTGACCAATTTATGTTGTAATGAGTAATCTGTTCCGGCAATTTTTATTGTTTGAGCGCATATCTAACGTGATTTGTAATTCTGAAATACCTGGTGGTTCAGCTGCGATATTTAGAAGCCGGCCTATTGACACTATTGTCAGGAATCAATTGTGCTGAAAGCAATGGCACATTTACCATATTCATTCGAAGTTTACAGTCTGGCATATGATATCTCAATGTCTAGTTTAAGATGGAGGTGGAGGCAGTCACTGCTGCCTTCAGCTGACTTGAGAATAAGCTGTGCACACATGTCGTAACTGTAAATGACTCACAGTGGATGTAAAGAAAGGTGGAAACAGGCATGCTCGTTGCAGAGTGGCAAGCATCGCTTAAGAGGTCCCGAGTAGTTAGCGTACTTTGAATATTTTCTCCGGGAGGTGCTGGTGTGTTGGGAAACGAGTAGGTGGATAGACTGGCCGGTTCTGCACAACATGGTGGTGAACTGATAAATGACATGCCAGATGTTGTGACTGCCCTTTGGGAGCGAGTGAACAGTGCGGAGAAACAAAAAGATCATTACGGTATGAGAAGAATAACGTTGCGGGGAGTTACCAAGGGATCTGGCCGACGCTTAACACTCAAGGGAAAGGCGAGACCGATGTACAATCAGACAGTTACTGGTACCATCGGAATTGGAATTCTTCGCTTGCTGCTGAATGTGGGGACGGAGCGCTTATGTGAATGTCCCCGTGCTGTGATATCGATTCTTAATTCAACATTCCCCCCGTGTGGGTTCCGGGGCCCCATTGTGGGGGAAACAAGAATAGACCCACTGCCTCCCCAAAAGCATGTCGTAAGAGTCGACTAATTGGGGAGCTTCCTTTGAAGTCGGAGTGCATCTGCCGGAGAGGCAAGGAACCAACAGTCTGCATTCAAGAGAATGAGATCTGTAAAACTGATGCACACGCAACATTCAGGTTCTGGAGCAGGACTGCAGTTCAGTAGTGGACGAGCAACCAGAACTTTCCGCCAGAGTGTACAGCTGGTGAACACGAAGAAGAAGAAGAAGAAGAAGAATTCAACATTCAACATTTTTTTTTTAGAGCCATTTCAAAATGGCTATATGCGGACCAGAGCACACGCATGCAACTTAGAATAGATCTTACTTGGCTGATCATGCATTTAATCATAAGAAATTCTTCCCACGAACTAACGTGCTGAAACTCCAACCAACCATAAACATATGTATTAACCACATACTGTTTTCATGTCCAATAACTTGACAGTATAAAAGAAAACGATTGCCAGTCTTTGCTGACATTTACTCTTTCAGGCCCAAACTAACGAATAGTGTGTGAAACTGATGTTTTCTACTAAATCCTGATTCTCGGGTCTTCTTTCTTCAAAAAATAAGGTTAAAGTCGAGAGAATCGACTTCATTGCACCGGGTTTTATCCCATATCGCTCGGTCTCTCTCTGCAGAACGGCTAGCTGCATACCTATGGCGCTGCACAAAGCACGAACATCGTAGCTCCGGCGATGATCCTCGTGGATCTCTGTATAAACTACACTCGTGAACTGAAGGGCACGAACCCGCGATCTTCGGAACGTGAGGTAAACAGCTTGACAAATTTTGCCTTTAATCCCATAATGGAGAATTGGCCCTAAACCATGTCATGTCAAGTCATTCTCTTTTTTCTACTGCTTGCAGCTCACCCCATGTCCTCCCTAGCTTTATGACTTCACCCTCTAGCTCCCTACTCCGTGGGTTTTTGTGGGGTGGGGGGGGGGTGGTGGGGTGTGGGTGGAAGGGGGTCTGCCTTAATTTCTACGCCCCTTTGGGTTCCAGTGTAGAGACACTCTAGTTATATTATTGTAAGGTTTTCTCAATGTGCGTCTTATCCAGCTACCACGAGGTAATGTGTTCTTAAACTGGAGTTTAGAATCTACCCAAATTATTTCAGGATCCTCGCCGGTGCTACAGAGCCTGTGCACTGTGCTGAGCTTCTTCGAACTCAGACTTGAGTTAGAAGAAGAACGGAGCACTTATGGGTTACCATCCGTGTGACATGATGTTGATCCGTGTTTAAACCTTCACATCTGAGAGCGTTGCACGAACTTCATAGTTCCAGCGACGATCATCTGAGTTCTCTGTAAAAAATGAACTCGTGAACTGAAAGACGAATCCGCGAAAGGAACCCGCGACCTACAGGGAGCGAGGCAATCAGTGACTGTAGCAAATGTGTCGAAAAAAAGTTGACTGAAGTTAAGCTGATATCTAATACTCATTACTCATACTTGCACACGCACACACACACACAAACATATATACGGGCACATCAGAAGAGAATGAGGAGGAAGTAAGAGGAGGAAGGAAAAAAGAACAAGGAGGAGGATGAGGAGGAGGAGAGGAAGAGGAAGAAGAAAAAGAAGAAGAAGAAGAAGAAAAAGAAGAAGAAGAAGAAGAAGAAGAAGAAGAAGAAGAAGAAGAAGAAGAAGAAGAAGAAGAAGAAGAAGAAGAAGAGAAGAAGAAGAAGAAGAAGAAGAAGAAGAAGAAGAAGAAGAAGAAGAAGAAGAAGAAAAGAAGAAGAAGAAGAAGAAGCAGAAGCAGAAGAAGAAGAAGAAGAAGAAGAAGAAGAAGAAGAAGAAGAAGAAGAAGAAGAAGAAGAAGAAGAAGAAGAAGAAGAAGAAAGGAATTGAAAAATGAGAGAATAAGACGGAGGGGAGAAAGAAGAAGAAAATGGTGATTATGAGGAAGGAGGAGCAGAAGAAGAAGAGATCATGTGGCGTTGCAAACGCTCATGGACATTTCTATAGAAATTAAACTGTCATAAGCTGACGCTACTCACGGTGGGCACATACTCCACAGGGAACGTGTTGGTAGCGTACGCTACGAGCATACAAGTTTTCCCCACAGCTCCGTCTCCCACAACCACACATTTTATGGACTGCATTCCTGCAGACTGGTCTCTTCCTAAGAGCTGGATGAAAAACAAATAGTCAGACAAACTGCTAGGCATAATAAGACGGAAAGACAAAAAGAATGTAACCTGAAGGTAGGTAGGTAGACAGAGATGTAGACAGATTGTGTGGTGGGTGGTGGGGACAAACAGATATGCAAGCACATATATGGTATCATTTTTTTCTGAGCATTCACTGGCTGTAAATTTAGGCGGAATTTTCTAGTTGTTCGTCCACTCTTGGATTTTTGTCTAGATCCGGAACTTGAGATTTGATTGAGATATCAGAAATTCTTTAAAAAAAAAAATTATAATAAAAATGATAATAGTAAAAATGATAGTAACGACACTAGATCTGGGATTTCAAGCGCTTCTTTTAAGAAAGGTTATAATTTGTGACAATAGTGCTGATTTCTTTTGGTTATTCCATGGCTTTCTGTATGATATGTTATATTCTGGAGCTTTATCCTAGAATGGGGGGGGGGGGGGGGGGGGGGGGGGAGAGAAGGGGTACTCTGTGGACGCCCGGGAACACACAAAAAAAAACGGAACTGGCAAGAGGAAAGACGGGACGCATTGGTAGCTCAGGGTGGTGACGTCACGTCAGGCTGACGCCATTAGTCTCTTGCCCCGATTCTACAGAAGTCCTTGGTTATTCGTTTGAGGAGAGAATTAGAAATAGTCAGATCAACGCACAACTATACAAGTAAAGTAAGTAAAAGGCCATCTGCTTGTCATTGGCGAATTGGGCCTATGGTGGTGGACCTACATTTTCTTAGATTAATCAACATCACGTGGGTCGCCTTTATTTCCCAGGACTCTTCCTATAGTCTAGGTTTGGCTGGTAGGCAAAATTATTGTTGAGAACAAAAATCCGGCCCCCGTGAGGATTCGAACTCTTCTAAATCTTCTAGTGGTAGGCAAGCGTACACGGCTGGTTTAAAGGTTAAAGCTCCATATACACACACATCATCATCATCATCATCCTTCGCGTGCCGTTAGACGTCACAAAGGGCTCGCATTCGAATCCTTCGCTCTGTTGCAGGCAACTCTCTCGATTTCTGACATATAGTTCAGCCCAGAATTTTTAGTTTCTCGTAATAATGTATTTCTTAATGTTTCCTTTGGCCGTCCTCTTTTTCTCAGCCCTTTTGTTTCCCATTTCGCTGCTTGTTCTGTAATTCTTTGCTAATTTCGACTCAGAGTGTGCCCAATATCTTCTTCTTCTTCTCGTTCACCGGCTGTAAACTCCGGCGGAAAGTTCTGGTTGTTCGTCCACTTCTGGACTGCAGTCCTGTTCCAAAACCTGAGTGTTGCGTGTGCATCCGTTTGACAGATATGTATGCAGACTGTTAGTTCCTTGCCTTTCCGGCACATGCACTCCGACTTCGAAGAAAGCTCCCAATTAGTCGACTCTTACGACATGCTTTGGGTAGGCAGTGGGTCTATTCTTGTTTTTCCCATAGTAGGGCCCCGGAACCCACACGGGGATGAGCCCAATATATATCTACATTCTTTGTCTTATTGCAGTCGATACATAGATTTGTCCAGACATTTCTCAGATCTTCTAGCTATCTTTTGAATGGTCTGGTCTGGTAGTCTTAGTTTCAGCTTTATAGCAAACGGGTTACCCCATCTTTGCTCCGCTCCTGTGCCAACGAAAAACACACAGAATGTTTATCACAGTCCCCTGTTGAAAGATTGACAGACTGCTTTCTCAGCATATCTGGCATACACTCGCATTAAAGCATACGGTAGCCATCCGAAGTGCTAACACAAACAGTCCAACATTAGAAATGCAGTTCATCACTGATGGTAGCAGAAGTCGCCAACAGATCAGCTGTTGCCCACGCGATCAATTTTAATCACATACGGGCACCACCAACATTGCGACGACAGGCAATGAATAAATACCATCATGATTTTTCTCAGACATTTATTATCTTTTTCGCATTCACCAGCTGTAAACTCTAGTGGAAAGTTTTGGTTGTTCGTCCACTTATGGACTATTTAATTCTAGTTCCATATCTCTAGTGGTTTGTAAGTGTCGCTGGTATATGTTAGAATTAAGTGAAGATTCGTAGATTGGTCTTAAAACTGTATATTTTGGAGCTGCATATTTTTAAGGCTTTTAAAGATTGTTGTAGCTTTGTCAATGTGTATCGTAATATCCTTCTTCGTATCTCCTTTAGAGTCAAAATTGCTACCCTAATAGGTGAAATGGTCCGTTACGTTTATTGGTTTGTTCTCTAGCATGACATCTATATGATCTGTTGTTGGTATCTTTAATATATTTGTTTTCTCATAACTTATGTGTAGTCCTATTTGTGTGTGTGTGTGTGTGTGTGTGTGTGTGTGTGTGTGTGTGTGTGTGTGTGTGTGTGTGTGTGTGGCTGTAGACGATAAACGATAGAGGACAAATCGTCTGCTTTTCTGTGCATGTCTTTGTTATTTTTTTTTTTTTAAACTAAATTTATTATGAAAAGTTCTTGAAAACTACGGTATAAATGGAACAATTTTAGATTGTGTTAGGGCTATTTATAGACAAAGTGAAAGCGCCATTAGAACAAGAGCTGGCATCACAGACTGGTTCCCAGTAACATCAGGAGTAAGACAAGGTTGTGTATTATCACCTTTACTTTTCATAATATTTATGGACAATATTAATAAAATAGACATAACACCAACAGATGTCGATAAACAGGAGGACTTCAATGAGCTGCTCTTTGCCGACGATCAATGCATATTTCACAGTGATAGTAAACAGCTGCAAGACCACATGAACCTACTACACGACAGTTGCCTCAAGCATCATATGAAGATCAATATTGAAAAGACAGAAGTCATGAGCATAAGTAGAGAGCAAACAGACCATCGACATAAAGATTCTAGATCACAGCCTAAAACAAGTGCAAGAATTTAAATACCTGGGAAGTATCTTTACATCCAATGGTAAAATAGACAGAGAGATTGAAGCAAGAATCCAACAAGCCAACAATGTCGCATACCAGCTTGCCCCAATTTTAAAACACCCTGCTGTCCCAGCTGAGATAAAAAGACAAATTATAAATACAATCTTTATACCGACATTATGTTATCAATGTCAGACTTGGACATTAACAAAAGAACATGAGAGAAGACTAACCACCTGTGAAATGAGATGTTTGAGAATGGCTGCGAATAAAACCAGAAGAGATCGAGTGAGAAACGATGTGATTACAAGAACTATTAGAACCATACCCATCGTTAAATTTACTGAGAAGCAAAGAATGAAATGGTTTGGTCACCTAATGAGAATGGAACCAACGATGCCAGCATCAAGAGCATACAACATGAAAATCGAAACAACAAGAGGCAGGGGAAGATCAAGAAGAAGATGGATTGAAGGAGTCACGGACAACTTGAGACTTCATAACATCACGGCATATGAAGCGACTGAGCGCGCCCTGGCTCGGTTGCCGATCATCTGATAGACTGCGACGCCTAGCGGCACAAGCAGATTTTGACAAAAGAAGAAGAAACATATTATTATCATATGCGAAATTCTGATCTTCCAGTTGTCTGTTCTCTACCCCATCATTGCTGGTATTGCCTTTGAAACATTTTTTCATTACCGAATCAAAGGCTACTCCAAACAACAAGGGAAATAGAATGCAGCCTTGTTTCACTCTAGTTTTCACAAAGAACCTGTCACTTAGACCATTTTCAGTGCGCACTGCACATTCTACCTGTCACTTAGACCATTTTCAGTGCGCACTGCACATTCTTAACCATCGTATAAATTTATAATAATGCGTATTATTTTAGCTGGTATGCCGTAGCATTCCAAAATGTCTCCACCTTCTTTAAAAATTGTTGTTGCTTTGCCAATGCGTATCTTAATTTCTTTCGCTGCATCTTCTTGAGAGTCAAAACTGCTAGCCAAATAGTTGAAATGGTCTGTTGCTTTTATTGGTTTGTTCTCTAACATGGCATCTACATGATCTGTTATTGGTATCTTTAATAAATGTGATTGTTATACACGCATACAGCTAGACATTAGCTCCCAAATATCTTAACAGCATTATCACCCCCTGGAGATTGCACAGCAGTAGGTACACTACGACTCAATGGGCGTAACGATTGTATATTATCTGTTTAATATTTTTCTTCATCACTGGCTGAAAACTGCGGCGGATATTTCTAGTCGTTCATCCAATTATGGGCAGTAATCCTGATTCAGAACCAGAGCCTTGCTTGCGAATCCATTTTACAGTTATGAGTCGTGTGTATGCAAACTGTTGGTTATTTACCACCCATGCAGATGTATCCGACTTCAAAGGAAGCTCTTAATTAGTGAACTGTTACGACATGCTTTTAGGTAGGCCAGTGGATCTATCCTTGTTTTTTCTTTCTCCTATGATAGGGCCCCGGAAAACACACATTGTACAAATGTTACTGTTTTATGAATCCACATCACACCACACAGGGCATAAATGATCCGTCCTCTGCAGCATGTCTTAAAACGTAGAACTGTTCCCGTGTTACATTGACTGTACACACGTCGTAACCTTCTCTCAGAGGGCTGCGTGGTCTCGATGCATGGTGTCTGCCTCAGATGCTAGAGGTTTCGGGTTCAATCCCCGATAAGAGCTGGGATTTTTTCACGTCGACTTGTTGGACTTCTAGTAATTACCCTGGTCTCTGGGTAGCGCCTGTGTACATTGTTGCGCACGTAAAAAAAAATCCCTTTGCAGTAGGAAATCGAAAAGAGTAGCCTACCAGCACTGCCCGGGCTAGATTTGAAGTTAAAAATCTACCCAAAGTATTTCAGGATCCTCGCCGGTGCTACAGAGCTTGTGCACAATGCTAAGCTTCTTCGGACTCAGACGAGTTCAGAGCACTTATTGGTTACTTAGCCGTCTGCCATGATGTTGATCCGTTGTTTAAAACCTCTGTCCTTCTCTCACACGTACCACTTTATTCACACATAATTTCACGTTCACACATTCTTATACGTGTTATTTCCTTAAAACTGTCGTGTTATTTCAGCATTATTTATTAAATGGTCTTTAGTATGT